AGTGAGAGTGTGTGTGTGAGTGAGTGTGTGTGTGTGTGTGTGTGTGTGTGTGTATGAGTGTGTGTGTGTGAATGAGTGTGAGAGTGTGTGTGACGTGTGTGCTGCATAATAAAGAGTGCACGCCTCTCACTCTGCGCTGGTTGCTATTTGATCGCGTCATATCATTGTTCGGTACAGTTTATTTGGTCTTTTCGCTTATTCGAACACCGAAAGAGCTTTTTTTGCTATTTTCGGTCAAATCATTTCAGTTGCCGAACATTCAGTGCATCCCTAGTTTGCTTGATGCACTCAGCATGAGAAGGGTTTTCTCTGCGCAGCATGGAGATATGAGACTCTGCAGAGGTCACGGCGAGGCTCCTCAAACTTCACTAGACTTTCAGAGTGACTGATAAACCAGCTGAGATCCAGAAATGACTGGGCGGAGCGCCACGAGGTCGTTTCCCCCGCGGGGGATGTACCTGAAGACGTGGGGTCCTCTGAGAAATCGTGGAGGTCTTCAGGAGGGTCGCCGTAGAACGAGTTGAACTTGTGACTCGAGACGGCAGCGAGGACGGCGCCCTGTGAATCACACACACAAACTCATCTCTATTTCATTCATTACACCGTCAGATTCAAACAGGACATTTGATGGAATCATCTCGACGAACCGCAGACGTTTGACATTTGCACTCCAGAGATCTCACAAACATATTAGATCATCAAACCGCACGTCTTCACCTTTACACAGGCTCATCAACGCCTCTCTGCTCCTCTGGGCTCCAACAGTCACGCACCTGACTACATCTTTGAAGAATTAGAGCAAAACATTCCTCGCTTTCATGTGGCGAACACACTCTGTCAATGAGAACTTAACCTGAAACCAGCAGAACTGCTGCAGAGCTTGATGTGTTTAACGCTCTGACAAATCCATTACTGTATTTTAAATCAATCTACAGAATGAAATATTTTAGAAATCCCATTTTATATATATATGGTGACCGAGTGAAAAGGTGAAAACGCCTGTGCTTTCTGGTCTATTTAGTTGAAATGGATCTGAAAAACAGCTCAATTTGAGGATTATCACTAGATTGAAACCACATTGTGTTTCACTGATATCCAAAAGCTAAATGTTTGTGAATGTGGTGCTGCGAAAGCACCAGGGTTCATTTTCTTGATGACCGTTTTCATCAACAACAAGATGATCACTACATAAAAAGCATAACTTTGCGTAAACAGTCGTTTAAATTAACACAAACAGTTGCACTTGGTCTTAAAGTGACAGCAGCCTAATATCCTGCTGCCGTCTGTGTCATTAATGTTAATCAAACAAGAAAAGGGAAAGTTAATTTGTATAAATAAATATGTCTGCTTGAAAGAATGAAGAATGCTGTATGCAAATTGTTATAAAGAATGCATATATAACCACTGGCCTTTCACTGAACATAAGACCATGTTCCTGTTTTTGTTTTTACTGAGAAGTGGTTTTGATTTCATTTTAAGATAATAAAGTCATGTTATACGCCACAACAGTGAAATCTGTGTCTGTGTTGCACATTCAAACCTTAATATCAGTCATATTAACAGGTTCACAGATGTGGAGTCTATAATGAGTTTGGAGATTTTAGAGTTTTGGTCAACTAAATCTACTGTATGTTTAGTTTACTAAAATGTGACCCTGTCTGTGAAAACCCTGCTAAAGTCATTTTTTGGTGATCTACTGTTTTCTATATAAAATCATCCTTCATAAAGTAAAGAACATTCTGTGAAAACGTAACACTGATATCTTTATTACTGACTGAGTAAGACCATGTCAAAGACTGAAATCATAGTGAAATGAATGGTTGAAATCAAACTTTGATGCTTGCTATCTCATAATTAGATTTTGAGACTTTAGCCTGGATTTCACAGAGAGGGTCACAAATATTATGATATTTAGTCTGTAGTCTAAAACTAAAACAGCTCGGATGTCTAAAATATGACTAAAACTAAATCCAAGTTCTGCTGTCGGGGGTTTTTCTTCCTTCCTCTGGTTATGTTCACGGCGAGAACCAGGTTTAGTCATTCAAAATTAAAACTAAATAAGATGCTTAAGATTAATTTCCATTTACATTTGGATCTACTTGATTAAAAACCTTTTCAGAAGTATCAACAGAATGAAACAAGTTTCTCGCAGTATTATTGTTTAATGGACAGATGGACACTTCGGGGGATTTTCTACGCTGTTGAAAATGTGTTGGGCTCTTGTGGTTGTGTGACACGAGGAATTACTGCACGATTACAGTAAATACCTTCAGTTTCCTCCGAGCGTTGAACTTCCTCAGCTGCTCCACCGTCTCGGGCAGGTGGGTCTTGTACGAGTAGCGATCTCTCTCCTGCACGACACGCACAAACATGAGACAAACTCAACCCGATACCAGGCTTGAAGGTCACAAACAGGAAGTGACTTATACAGGAGGAGAAATGACAATCATGTTAATTTTGAAGACAATAGCAGCAGGAGGGAAGTTAGCGTGCGTGACCTTGAGCCAGGGATGGTTGAGCGCCTCATAGACGGTGATTCTCTCGGCCGGGTCCAGCATTAGCATGCGTCGCACCAGGTCTTTAGCGCTCTCAGAGATCTGACTCCACTGCCGCGGGTTCATCTGACAAACAAACACACCGCTGAACCACACAAACACTTCATCCAGCTGCAGTTATATTTGTGACCCTGGACCACAAAACCAGTCATAAGGGTCAATTTTGTGAAATTTAGATTTATACAACATCTGAAAGCTGAAAGCTAAGCTTTCCATTGATGTATGGTTTGTTAGGATAGGACAATATTTGGCTGAGATACAACTATTTGAAAATCTGGAATCTGAGGGTGCAAAAAAATCTAAATATTGAGAAAATCATCTTTAAAGTTGTCCAAATGAAGTTCTTAGCAATGCATATTACTAATCAAAAATTAAGTTTTGATATATTTACGGTAGGAAATGTACAAAATATCTTCATGGAACATGATCTTTACTTAATATCCTAATGATTTTTGGCATAAAAGAAAAATGTATAATTTTGACCCATACAATGTATTGTTGGCTATTGCTACAAATATACCCCAGCGACTTAAGACTGCTTTTGTGCTGCAGGGACACATATGATCTATCGGTCTCGTTTTCCAGCACAAATATCTAAACACTATTAAAACAAGATTCCTTTACTTGAGATGCACAATGACAGAAGATAAGAAGTCTTTCAGCATAACACAAGAAGAAATATCTGCCAGTGGGGTCAGAGAAATAAACTTATTTTTAAAAAAAATCTGAAATTAAAATGTTCTATTATTTAAAAACCAAGTTTATTTTTCTGACCCCATTGGCAGACATTTTTTGTTGTTTTAATCAAAAACTCGGAATCTCTCAGAAAACAAGTCTTCTTATCTTCTGTCATTAAGTGAATTGATTTAAGGATTTTTATATATCTGCACTGGAGAAAACACTGCAAAAAAAAATTTCTGTCTTGTTTTCTAGTACAAATATCTAAATATTCTTGAATTAAGATACATATACTGGAGAAGCTAAATGATTTTAGATATTAAGGGGCAGTTGCATAAACAGTCACCATGTTAAGACTGTCTTAAGAACTAGTTTGACTAACTAGCAGTTAACCAACTGGTCATCAGTCTAACTTTTTTTTGAGATTCAAATTTGATCAATCTACATTTTTATGTAACTGACTTTAAAAAGTTTAAAGTTTAAGACTAGTTTAGCAGCTTTTGTAACTGGCCATAAGTCTTGTTTTCTAAAAGAAATGTATCAAAATTTTGCTAGTTTTTGTTTAAAACAAGAAATAATATCTGCCAGTGGGTTAAGAAAAATAATCTTAATTTAAAGGGAAAACAAGACCGCATTGGTAGATATTTTTTCTTAATTTAAGAAATAACTCGCTTAATTTTAACAAATTTTTCAGAAAACAAGACTTAATATCTCTGTTATTTTGCATCTCAAATAAATATATCTCGATTTAAAAATGTTTAGATATTTGTACTAGAAAAAGTAAGAAAATCATTTGTTTGCAGTGCAAACAAAAACACGGAGGAAAACGTCCCTGTCTGCAGTGTTTATAGCAGATCCATCCTCAGACATGGAACCTCAGAAGTGCCTGATCAAGTGCACTACATAGGGAGCACAGACTCTACATAGACTCATAATATTTAATCCATACGTCTCTGTATTGCATAAATCAAAATAGCATTGTCTATTCTCTCAATGCTAGATGTTCTCAGGTCGTCACAAAGCATTCTATCCCTTCTCCACATACACACACTACCAGTCAAACGTTTTTGAACAGTAAGATTTTTATAGTTTTTAAAGAAGTCTCTTCTGCTCACCAAGCCTGCATTTATTTGATCAGAAATACAGCAAAAGCAGTAATATTGTGAAATATTATTATAATTTCAAACAGCTGTTTTCTATGTGAATATCTGTTAAACTGTAATTTATTTCTGTGATGCGCAGCTGTATTTT